CTTACCTAAAGATCAGAAGGGCAAAGCTAAACACTAGAGATCAGGCAGTGGTGGCACACACCTTTAATCCCAGGATTTAGGAGGCAGAAGCAGATGGGACTAAGTGAGTTCAAGGCTACCCTGGGCTACACAACGTCAATGCAGAAACAAATCCCCAGGTGGTGAAGGCTCACACCTTTAATCCCAGTACTAGGGAGTCATAGTCCCTTAATCCTAGCACTAGAGGGAATAGAAAAAGAGAGGAGAGAGAGGCTTAGTCTGCTTAGTCTGCAGTCATCAGCCTTGGTAGAGGTAAGACTTCTCTAGTGGCTTGATTACTTTGTTTTTCTGCTTTTCTGGTTAGACTCTCAATATCTGTCCCTGGTTTTTATTATCCATACTATTGAGTTGTCCTTGATGAGTGCAGAGTTTCAGCTGGGAATGGTGAAAAACTTCCAGGTATGCCAGCAGTGATTGCATGACAATATGAGTGATTAACATCCTGAATTTTACACTAAAAATGGCTAAAACAGCAAACTATATTAGATAGATAGATATAGATAGATGATAGATGGATAGATAAATAGATGATAGATAGATAGATAGATAGATAGATAGATAGATAGATAGATAGATGATAGATAGACAGATGGTAGATACTTAGATAGATAGACAGATAGACAGATAGATGATAGATAGGTAGGTAGGTAGGTAGATAGATAGATAGATGGATGGATGGATGGATGGATAGATAGATAGATAGATAGATAGATAGATAGATAGATTTACTACAAATTTTAAATGTGGGAGGAAATGGTGATCAGAAACCAGGAACAAATAAGAATATCTATATTATGTCCTTCAATAACAAATATTGTTCTTCCTCCCTTCTACCTGAGAGTGAAGTGTCCAGCTTAGAAATCAAGAATAAATCCATATCCCTCATTCCCAAACTGTGTGATCCTAAAAAAGTCACTATAACCTCTCTGACTTTTTTTTTCTGCTGTAAAGAAGAAAAAATAAACTCTTAACTATCAGGGTTGTAAATGAGCACCAGAATCTCTTGGCTCAGCTCAGGCCTGGGTGGTCCATGGTATGTCCTTCTGGGCGCACACTGAACGTGCTTGGCTATTGACTTCCCAGCTGTCTTCTCACTATAATCCTCAAAGTTTTTGGAAATTAGCCAAAGGTACCTGTGTGTGATTTCCACCAGCCTCAGTTTCCCCGTGAATAAATTGGTTGCCTTCCTTTGCTGAGGCAAAGTTAATGTGGCAGTAGACATGGCAGGAATGGTGCTGAAGAAGTAACTGAGAGTTCTATATTCTGATCCACAGGCAGCAGGAAGAGAAGAGGGAGTCACTGGATCTCAAAAGCCCACCCCGAGTGACCCACTTCCCACTTCCTTAAACAAGGCCACACTTCCTTTTTTGGTTTGCTTTGTTTTCATGGTTTTGGTTTTTTGGTTTTTTTGTTTTTTTGTTTTTTTTTTTTTTTTGAGACAGGGTTTCTCTGTGTAGGTTTGGAACCTGTCCTGGAACTCACTCTGTAGACCAGGCTGGCCTCGAACTCACAGAGAATCGCCTGCCTCTGCCTCCCAAGTGCTGGGATTAAAGACATGTGCCACCATGACCCAGCTCCAGATAAATTTCTTATGCAGATAACAATCAAAGCAGCTCAAAATACCAAAAATAAGTGACTGTTGGGTGTTTATTCCTAAATGTGACATATATATCATAACTCCTTATCCCCAAGACTCAGGGAACATCACAGAAGAGAAGATGGGAAGATTTTTAAGAGTCAGAGATCAGGAAAGATTTCTGTGAACTAACATCTTCTGGACGGAACAGGGCCAAAGAACTCATGGGTCCACAGGAGCTGTAGTCGATGACCCAAGATGACACAAGATCAACTCAGTCACCCGTGAGAGAAGGAAGGGACTCATGAGGCCCTACCTTTACCTGTGGAGCTATTGTCAGTCAGTGGATGCTGAGACAGGGAGAGTCAGCTTTCTTTAACAGTATGGCCTGTGGCAGGTTGCCCGTGTTTCAGTGGATGGCGTCCTACAGTCATGTACAGACAGGCAGCTCTAATTGGATGTAATTTAAATGCATTATACTCATATGTGAAATTACAAAAGAATATTTTTTAATTTAAATAGTACAATCAAAAAAGGACAGACTGAAAAATAGCAGCATAATAATAAAATATTAGTGTTCTAAACATACAGAGTGGTTACGGATCAATAAAAATAGAAAAATATCCCAACATTAAAAAATGCTATTATATACTGTATAGAATAAGAAAATATAAATCCCATTAAACATAGGTAACAATCAACCTTTTCAAAATGAACAAAATATTGCATTGTTCTGTTTTCCTCAAACACTGGAAGTGTTTTAAATTCACCCTTTTCTACCATACAGATGGTATTCCTTACAATTATTAATTTATTTTGCACATTTATTAATCAAAAACTCATTTTACTGCAAAACAAGGGACTCTCTAAACATCAAAGTATCATTATTGCCTCAAAAAAAAAAAAATCCGTACGAGTAGAACCCAGCCTAAGGAATCTCACATGACATTGCTGTTGACTATTTGGTCTCACTGGAAACTGTATATATGTTTGAGATGTTCAGAGGGTTTTCACTCAACTCCCTCAAACTTCTGTGTTCAGGGCTGTGAGCTGGAAAGCATTCTTCAGAGACAGCAATAAGAGCCGACCTGCTCCTTCCCAACAGGGCTAACATGAATTCTCATTTACGAAACACTGAACACCAACCAGGGTTCACTGTCTCAGGGACACAAAGAGAGGGCATCATCGTGGGGGAGAGGGACACACAACCTGACTGGGGAGTCAGATACCAGAGACTACAGCAAGGAATGGAATACATAAATCCAAGGCAGGCCACAGGACTTGTGAACGTTTTGATTTGTTTGGTTTCTTTACATTGTGTGTGTGTGTCTGTGTCTGTGTGTGTCTGTGTGTGTTTGCGCGCATGCACACATGTACACCACCGCAAACACATGTGGAGGTCAGAGGTCAACTTGCAGGAGTTGGTTCTCTCTTTGTACCACATGAGTTCCAAGGCTCATATTCGGGTCATCAGGTTTGGCAGCAAGCACCTTTGCCCAGTGAGCCATCTCTCCCCATTTTTAAATAAGATTATCAGAGTCATGCTTCTTGAAAATGGAAATTTAAGAATAAAAGGCAACAGATGGCTGTGGAGTCACATAAGACATCATAATTTTGTGTTTGGAAAAAAGTATAAATTTTTCCATAAAGCAAACAACCAAGAGAGAAATTTTAGAAAGCCTTGGCTAGTAACCGCTTACAGAAAAAAAATCAACAATATTAATTTTCATGCCTCTAGAGAGGCAGAAGTGTATTTTATTTATGTATTTGTATTTTAATTGAAAAATAAAAAGTGCATGTGTTTATGGTATACAACATGATGCTTGGAGGAAGTCAGTTTTCATCTGAATCTAGGGAGAAGCAGATTTAAATTGTTCGAGCTCATCATATGCTCTGGAGCAGCTGCTGCGGCAGGGCAGATGTGTGCATCGGAAAGCGATGGTGTGTGGAAGGCAGGCTGGGGATGGGAGGAGAAGCTCCTGAGGACAAGCGGCCAGTAGTTAGGACGCATGTGCTGAGACCAAGACTGACTGGTTCACCCTCATGTTTGGCCCCTAAATTAGTGCTTGGTACCCAGGAAAACCGATCAGCATTTACTGACTTAATGGATTAGTGAACACTGCTGTAATTTACATGTGGGCTCCTGTGTTTTAAGCTCATTCTCCAGTGTGACAAGTTGAGGGGTGGTAGAACATTTGAGAAGAAGGGGGATGCAATGAACTCATGGGAGAGTTCCATCATCAGAAGGAATGAATGTGCCTTTGATGGGATTGCAGTTAGTTCTTACAAAAAGAGGAAGCCTGCGCTGGCCATGGTGGCACTCAGCTGTGATCCCAGCCCTCTGAGGCTCAGGAAGAAGGACCGAGAGCTTGAGGCCCACTCAGGATAGACAGCAAGACCTCCCCCCTGACCACTCCCATTGGGGTGCGTGGCAAGGAGCCTGGTTCCTTCACTTTTCTGGCTTCCCAATTCACCATGTGACCTCTTCTCCATGCGTCCTGCCACTATTAAGTCCTCCTCCATGCGGGCTTCACTAGAGGCCAAACAGACAGAGTCATCTGAGTCAAGATTCCAACCTCCAAATCTAAGAGAAAAATAAATCTCTTTTCTTAATAAATTTACCACTTCCAGTATTTTGTTATAGCAGCAGAAAGTGGATTAATACAGATGTCAAAGTCAAGGGCTGAGTATGATGCCACACGCCTTTAATCCCAGCCCTCAGGAGGCAGAGGCAGGTAGATCTCTGAGTTGGATGCTATTCTGGTCTACATAGTGAGTTTCAGGACAGCCAGGACTGCATCAAGAGACCTTGTCTCAAAAATCAAATCAACAACAACAACCATGTTCCTTTCATTCTGATGGGTGTTAAAATTAATCTCACAATATTAAATAAAATAGAACATAAACAGACCTATTAGCTACCCCACCAGCCTGCCTTGCAGCCTCAGTCTAGCCAAGGAGCTAAGGGTACATGGTATTTGCACTTATAAAGTACTTACATAAATGCTTTATGAAATGCATTTTTTTTCTTTCCTCCTTCTGCCATCCTAGTGTCTGGAATAACTAGATGATGGGCTGGAGGTTCAGCAGCCACATGGAGCTTGGACTACAGACGCTAGGACACCAAACAGGAAGATTCAAGCCTAGGCTTCCCATGGCCACTGCTAATCTACCTGTCCTAAATGACCTACTTTTACACTTGCTGTTCCACAAAGGATAAATAAGCTTCTGGGTTTACAGTCACTTTTCTTTGGAAGTATGCTGTTGCCACCAGAGAAAGTTAATCCTGAAGATGTGGATTTACTCCTAGCTCCTAGAGACGATGGAGACCTAGTGAGAGCAGGGCAGCCCTGAAGCGTCCATTTCCCCTAGCAGCAGGAGCCCTCTATCTGTTACCCGTACCCGGCTTCCTGGACACTGCCCCTTCTGTGCCTTGAATCAGAGCCCTGTAAGTTTTAGGACAGTGCTTTCGATAGAGATTTTCTGCCAGGGTGTTGCTTCCTCTGACCACAGTCTTGCCCTCTTGATTCATGTAGTTCCATAAATGCAGGGCATAGGAGTTGTTGAAGCTCGGCTCTGTATCCCACACTTGGTAGTAGAGCCTCCACTGGGGATAGGGGATAGGGTAAAATCTCTGGGGATGAAGGAAGGAAATATTCGGACACTTCAGGTCACCCATCTCTTGGAAGTCTTGGAGTTTGCACCACACCTTTAACATCCTTGTCATCAGTTTGGGACCTTGGTTGCCCCAAATGCCTGAGTTATAGTGCTCAACAAAGTTCTCCATGCAGGCCCACAGAAAGGGGTGGTGGGGGAGGAACCCAAACACTCCATTACTGGAGTGCTGGGAACCCTGGGCTGCCAAGAAGTTCTTCTCGGGGATGGGCCTGATGGAGATGACATCGGTGTCCATGTAGATGCCCCCGTATTTCCAAATGATAGCCAGGCGGGATGCATCCGAGCTGACGTGGAGCCAGTATTTCTCCTTACTGCTGTTGACCTATGGGAACAGGTACAAATGAGCCCACAAGCAGTAAGGGCGGTTAGGAAGGACCATAACAAGGTAGAGTCCCCAAAATTTATTTGACTGCAAGCCAAACTTTATAAATTTCTCAACCTACCTTCACCCTCCAATTTCCCCTGAAGTAACGAGTTTGCAGCAATTGGTATCAATGCAAAAATTTTTAGCAGCTATTGAAGATTTAAAAAAAAAAAAGGTTTTCTTTCATCAAAGCAGTGGAAAGATAGAGGCAAGATTCAGCGGGAATTTCACAATGAACAGTGTGAGTCTATCTTCCATGTGGGTGACAATAACCACAAAGGTGAAGCTGTGAAGGATGGATTTTTTTTTAAGTCCTCAAAATGTTGAAGACTGATATGTTTTAAAACAAATAAAAATAAAAACAAGCTAGGAAACTCGGAAAGAAAATCAATACACTAGTTGAGAAATTGGGGGAAAGAAAAAGAATCTGCCCCTGCATGAACGCATGCCTTTGTTTGCTTGAAAATTCCTTCAGTGAAGTTTGCTGAGGACCTATCTAGTATGCACCAAGCACTGTGATGTTGCTAAAAGCATCCACAATGAAAAAAACAGGAAAGATCCCCACTGGGAGGAAATCAATAATAAAACAAATATAGACTGCATTGGGTGTTGATAAGGATTATGAAAGGAATAAAAAGACCAGTGGGGGGGGGGGACTATAAAAGGATGAGAAAGCGCACAATGTTACATTAGGTTCCAGCCGAAACTTGAATGTTGTAGGTGGGTGCGCCTGCGCGGTGAAAACATTTGGGAGAAAGGTCTAAGCTGGAGCCGTCAGCAACTGCAAGGGCCCCAAGGCAGAAGAAGCATATTGACCATGAGGCAGAAGCAGAGTGGAGGAGGGAGAGGGGCGGGCAACGAGAACAGAGCTAAGTACAGAAAAGGGGAAGATCATGTAGATGGCATCTACATGGGACCAAGTTTTGAAATTATTTGGCAGGTTGAACAGAAAGGGGGGCTAGAATCTGAATGGGTTTTCCAAGGGTCACTTTAGCTGAGATGCAGACAAGAGTCTGGGCCAACGATGGGAATGGATGGGGACAGAAGCAAAGAAGCAGGCTAGGCGCTCCTTGAGGTAATCCAGCCTTGGACGAGGGTGATAATCTGGTGGGAGTGAGAGAAATGATCAGGGTTCATATTCCAGATAAAAACAGGTCAGCCTTCGCTGTTGGGTAGAATGATGGGTAAGTCGGCAGAAAGAATCACTGTAAATGCTCAAATACAAGCCAAACAGAAGAGGAACCCAGAGGAATAAGAATAAATCAGTAAACATCATAGTTTCCCCCTTTGGCATGGTAAGATTTTTGAATAAAAAACCAAATAAGTTTTTCAGAATTTAAGTATATCAAGTAAAATATTAAATGAAGGCCTTTGGTTCTGGTTTTTAAAAGTGAGTTAAAATTCTACTATGAAGAACAAAGGCAAGCTAGCAAAAATTTTGATAAAAAAAAAAAAAACAAAAACCTCGCATTTCCTGGAAACCGCCCATAATCATTTCCAGTGGCTGAAACCTCAGAAACAGTTCATAGCAGGCACCTATCAGTGATCATTCTGAGCACTTTATAATCTGCACAGATCGAGACGAAGGGCGTGGTCATTCTCCCTTTCAGATGAGAAACTGAAGGATCGAGATGCCCCACCACTTGTCCTCAGGTACCAGCTGAATGTGAACCTGAACCACCTGTCGTCAGACAGCCATTCGTGCAAAAGAAACAATCAGCCTAACTTGGGAACTTAGGGGTTGTGACTGAACTAAGAGACATGGAGCATCAAAAGCCTTAGAAAAGCAGAAGAACCCTGCCTGGATGTGAGCACTAGCCTGCCATCCTCCTGAGACGGGGTGAGTGGCAGAAGGAGGACTGAGAACGATGCCTATGCTGATGCTGGACATCTTCGAGAGCTACAACTACCTATGGGGTTCATATAGCCAACCCAGCAGTCCTTAGGAAATGATGGCACAATGGGCGCTAACAAGTGCCCCCCGTTTATCTCCTGTGGAGGCCCAGCTGGGACAGAACATGTCATGACCCAGTTCCCTCAAGGGTGTCATGGCATGAATGCTGTAGCTACACACCCTGGCACAGAACCCTACAGACCCAGCTGGAGCAGACACCTAAGGGCTATGCACAGCAGGGCCCACCTTACTCCTAAAATGTGGCGTGTAAACATCTAGGTCCATCTTAGCACAACCCGAGCTTTGCTTCAAAGGATTTTGGTTCCAAGAAGTCATTTATCTATTACACTAAAAGAGAGTTCTACATAAGGCTGACGTTTCCTTAGTTCAGAACCATAATGAGGCTTTAGTATTCCTCCCGAGTGATTCATTTGTGCGAAAAAGATAGAGCTTGCAGCATGTCCCAAAATAACATGCTTTGATATTTATTTTTCCAAGGAGCAAAGTACGGTTTAGAGAAGAACAGTCTAGCCCAGGTATGGGAAAGGTTCTGCAGTCCTAGGGCACGAACTAAGCTGTCTGTCCCGTCTATTCCTGGCACCCACCTGCCTTCCTGGCCTGTTCCATACCCTGCTGCTCCTGGGACAGTGACACCTACTTTCCAGGAACCCTGCTGCTGACAACTGCCAAGACTAACATATGGACACTTAATACATTTGAATTGATCCACTTCCTCCTGGCCAGTTCCAATTTGATATTTCCGGGCTCTTAGAACAGATGGGACATTGGCATCTAAAAGTCACTGGAGATCAAAGTGATAGCGATCTCAGAAACTTCCCTCAATCTCAGCCACTGCCAACCCAATCTATAAGAAGTGTTCCCCTGGGGGTTACAGCTTAGTCTGACAAGTGGTAGCAACTAGATCCAAGCCTACCAACTGCACACCAACACACCAGACCCCCGCTAATGAGGCAAGACAGGGCAGGGGAGGGAAGGGGCTTCTTCTCTTTTTATGAATAGGCTATTGTTCTTTTTATGAATAGGCTAAATAATTACCGCCCCCAAGATATCAAGTCCTGATTCCTGGGAACCTATAAATATGGGGAGAGGATGTTTGCAGATGTGATAAAGTCAAGGATATTGAAACGGGGTGATGATTCTAGATCATGCTGTTGGGTCCTCGAAAAACTATCCCAGATGTCATTCAAAGAATGGGGTGGACAGAAACTGTACCCACACAGAGGTAAAAGGGGGTTTAAAGGAAAAGGCAGCAAGTAGATGGATGGGCTATAAGCCAAGGGGCAGCTTGACCACCAGAAGCTGTTAAGAAAGCTGTGACTGTGGCTCCCAGAGCTGAGAGCCTAAATGTCTGTTGCTGAGGGTCACCAAGTCTGAGGTCCTTTGTTAAGGGAGCCCTGGCAAACTAACACAGTGATAGATACAAAACCCTCACTTTTGCTACTTGGCTCACAAAGCTTAAATATCTGCTGACATTTGGTCCAGGGTGGATGAGCATTTAGATAGAACTTCATATGACAAGCAAATGTTATGACACCAACTTTTAAATTATTTGTTCTGAAAAATAACTTTCTGCCGGATGGTGGTAGCACATGCCTGAAATCCCAGCACTTGGGAGGCAGAGGCGGGCGGATCTCTGTGAGTCTGAGGCCAGTCTGGTCTACAAAGCGAGTTCCAGGACAGCCAGAGCTGTTACACAGAGAAGCCCTGTCTCAGAAAAAAAAATTAGAACAATTTTTGTTATAAAATCAATCTTTCTGAAAGTCACTTCTATTTCAATAATACTCAACCATCTGTTGTAATAACTGGTTTCTTTAGCTTGTGTTTGCCTATTTGTTAAAAGGACTTGATTTTTTAGAATTTTGTGGTTTTTTTCCGACAAAGTTTCAAATAGCCCAGACTGGCCTACAAGTTGCTATGAAACCAAAGATGACTTTAAATTCCTGATTTTCCTACCTCTACCTCCCATGTAGTAGGATTACTGGTGTATGCCCCATGAAGGCTTCCTCCGTTCTCTTTAATGCTAGAGATGCTTGCATAGCTGAAATCATTATAATTGCATTATAATGGAAAGGACACTTTCATTCTATGCTGTTTTATACTTCCCATAAGAAGTCAGTTAAAACCCAAAAGGAAAAGCTCAGTGATGCCCTATCTAATGGAACCCTTAAGTAACTGCACACTAATTTTCTTAAACACTACCCAACTGCGCATCTTCTGTGGGACCAACATTACACTGAAATATTATTTCCTTATTACGACATACTGCTAAGAGGAAGATTATTGGATTCCTAGGAGTTCTGGGAGCTTCTAGATCATTTCTCCCTACAATCCACTCTCGTAGAGCAGCATGCCACTGAGCCTTGCTGAATTCTCAACCGACATCATTTCATCTTAGTTTCCACCTCTGGTGTTGAAAAGGTTTAACATAGATGGGCTTTAAGGTATAGGGAAAAAGAAGTGCTCCATGTACCTAGAAAAGATATTTTTAAAAAATTCATTTAGTTCAGAAGTGCCTCCAAAATACCGACGAGACTCAAAGAAATAAGACTCGATGCAAAGGAAACCAGTACAATCACTTAACCGATGTGTCTCCCATTTACCTGAATCAGAAGTCCAATCTATGAGGGCTAGATTTGATTCTTTCCTGAGCCCCTGTCCTCAGGTTGCCTGTCTACAGTGAGTATATTGGACCCATTTTCATGCTGGTTCTGTTTCTCCCTTCCAACACAGACTCCCTCAATGCTTTGCACACTTACTTTGGTGTACCATGAAAACAAGGGTGTGTCTTCAAACAGTTTTTTCATGTCCAAAGGGACAAAGAAAACATTGTCTATGGCTGAGAGCAGGGAGAAGGCTGGGTAGCTGGCGTTAGGGGTCAGCTGTGTGGCATTGCTGAGCTTTTTCATAAAGAAGATGATCGGCTGCTCGGGGTAGATTTTGGCAGCAGACTCCACAGCACAGGTGACCAGTGGAGGTGGCTCCACTCTTTCAGACGTCTCTATGAACACGATGCTTCGTCCACTGCGCAAGAGGCCATCCGGCCCCTGTGGAGATGTGAAGAGAGGCAGGCAGGCAAAGAAGCATTGAGACCTCAGGGTGAGTTGGTATAGCAGGCCACAGGCAAACATCAGGACCAGCGACAGGGAGAGATGGAGTTCCTTCAGCATGTCCTCCAGCTCTCCCAGCCTCTCCTTAAGCAACACAGTTCATCAGAATTCACCCTGGTGATCCTAAATGAGATAGCATGAGAGAAAATGAAGAAGAATATCACTTATTGATAAGATGAAGGACGTCTCAAGTGAAATATAATCAAGTCAAGCCTGAAAATCTTATAAAAAAATTCATCTTAGATTTAGATTTATATAGGAAGACAATTTAATATATATACGATCAGAGCACAAAGTATCTTAACAGAAGAAAAGGAAAGCAATCATCATTTTTACCAATCAATATTATTCTAACAAGTCTAACCAAGTCAATAAAATAAAGGAAAAAAATCACTAATATAAATAAATGTTAGAAGAGGCCAGTGTATCACCAGTTTCCCAAACTATGACCACAGAGAGAGAAAAATTGAGTATAACGTGTTCAAAAATTAACAGAATTCAGAAGAAAATTAACCAAGGCTCTAAACTAAAAATTAGAAGGTTGCATTGTGAACCTAGTGCAGCAGCTCTGGAGCTGTGACTCAAACCTGAATCACTCACCACCAAAGGCCAGCCTCCGGTTGTCACCGCAGTGGCTCCCTCCCTGCCGAAGGCAGCTTGAATTCAAGCTGACTCCAAGACAGCAGGGATCTCGATTCCTTAAAGGCCTTCTATGTAACTCTGTCAGAGAACTCAAATCCAGGAGCCCAGAACTCACTTACCAGTCAGAGACTCACAGTTCACCAGTCCTTGAGGTCTTAGAAGTGAGGACACATTTTTCCTGTATACATTCTGATAACTCACTGCCCAATCTTCCAATTTAACCACACAAAGGAAAGTAAATCATTGGCACAAGATTAAGACTAAACCTAAGAAACTCCCCTAGGAAGCTCCTCCCTTCACTAAGCTCCTCCCCCTCCCCCTGAAAGTAGGTGTGTGGGGATAATAGGAACTCATGAGACTTTTCAGATGACCCACACACTTGGCAAGCCTGCTTGGGATCTGTCATGGGAGCGCCAAGAGGATCCTGTCAGGTGGAGGAAGCTAGATGGCTGCATGATGTTGGTGCAATCATGAATCTGCTCAGGTTAGCTGGAACCAAACTCATGGGCAGAGTCTTGGGAAAGGTTCTTTACCAGACAGTGTGTAAACTACCCAGATTTCTCCTTTGTGATCACGATTAAATGGTAATGGTTTGATGAAAAGAAGAGAAAGCCTGTTTGCACCATCAAAGCAGAGGACAAACTCCAGGATCCCAAAGGCCCGGGGATGTACAATGAGAACGGATCCCCAGGTGTCAGCTACAATGGCTGCAGGAGGGGTCTTTTTTGCCTTGAGGTACCATTGTGGGCTAGGAGACTCCTCTCGCTCTCACAATGTCAGCTTGATCACCCTCAACTAAGGTGGGTTTCCCCAAGGGATCTTCACCCTCCATGGTTGAGCTGCAAGGCTCCTAATGTGGGCATTCACCAAGACTTTTCAAAGCTGTTCTTTGAACAGGCAGTGGTAGCCTTTAATCCCAGCACTCAGGAGGTAGAGGCAGGTGGATCTCTGAGTTCGAGGCCTCCCTGGTCTACAAACAGAGCACGTTCCAGGACAGCCAGTGATACACAGAGAAACCCTGTCTCAGAAAAACCAAAAGAAATGTAGGAAAGAAGGAAGGGGGAGGGAGGAAGGCAAAGAAGGAGGGGGGGGAAGAGAAAATCTTCTCTGTTCAGAGAATCACCTGTCCTCAGCCCAGAGCTTCCTCTTAGGCAAAAATAGGTTCCCCTAGATGCTGTAGTATAATCAAGTATGTTACTGGACAAACTGTGGATCCAGTCCTACATTAAGGGAGCTGGAGCTGTCCCATTTCTTGATATCTCTGGGTGGTGTGAGAAGTCCTTCTGTCTATGTGTTGCTTTTATTGATTAATGAACAAATCTGTTTAAGCCAGTGGCTTAGCAGAATAAAACTAGGCAAGAAAACTAAACTGAATGCTGGGAGAAAGAAGGTAGAGTCAGAAGCCAGGCAGTGGTGGCACATGCCTTTAATCCCAGCACTTGGGAGGCAGAGGCAGACAGATCTGTAAGTTTGAGACCAGCCTGGTCTACAAGAGCTAGTTTCAGGACAGGCTCCAAAGCTACAGCGAGAACCTCGTGGTAAAATATAAAATAGTAGAAATGGGTTCATTTAAGATGTAAGAGATAGCCAATAAAAAGCTAGAGCTAATGAGTCAAGCAGTGATTCAATTAATACAGTTTCTGTGTGATTATTTTGGGGCTGGACAGACAGGAATGAACGAATAGCCTCCCACCAACGACATCTGGGTTTCTTTGTTTGAGCATCCTCAGAACTAGCTCTTTGTCCTCCTTGTGGTCCTCCTTTAAGAACTGGATTTCTTCTGTGGGCCTGGTTAACTCTGGGCTCAAGGCAATCTGTCATCTTTTGAGAGTTCTTGAAGTTGAATAGATGTGGGTGTTCTTTGGTACCAATGGGAGGAAAGATTAGTGGTCCTGCTGCCTGCTTGAGGCTAACTAGAGAGATGGCCTTGCGCAAGTGTTAGATTCCTTGTTCCTAGTTGGGACTAACTGCTTGTACGTTGGCGTAAACAAATGAGCTAGTGGTCAAGGCAGAAAACACTGACGTGGTTCGTGGTCTTTTCAGGGGGACGTGGGTGTGAGTTTGAGTGAGGCAATGAAATTTCAAGCATCACAAGTAGGTCTTGCTGATTGCGCACCAGGTGGAGTGCTGCCTGCATCTGTCACAGGCCAAGAACTAGGACCCCAATAAGTGCAGAAAATAGCCTGCTTCAGGCTCGCCTTGGCTAAAGAAGCAGCCCTGACTTCCCACCAGGGAGAAGAGGAAAGACAAGGTCCCTGAAGATGGAGCTGGGCAAAGTGGTGCACACCCGCGATTCCAGCACTGGAGGGGCTGAGGCAGGAGGATCGGGATCAGGAGTTCAGAGTCATCCTCAGGCACATAGCAAGTTCGAGGCCAGTCTGAGATCTATGTAATTCTGCCTTCAAAATGAAGCAAAAAGTCATGTAGATGGTATTTGGACTCCTTGATTAAAGCATAAAGCTGCTCGTTCACCTGGGTAATTATTTTTAAATTTATGAATAAAATTTATAGCCCAGTGAACCTTTAAGGAGAAAATCCTCACCCTATGTGAGTTGACAGGTTGTATCCAAAAAGCAAATCGCAGGTCTCCAGGAATGTTTAGGGTCACAACTTGATGTCCTTCCCTGGTCTTCCTCAATCATCTGAATCACTCCACATGGAACGTCCAAGGATATGTAGACATCCTTTCTGGAGGGACCCAATATGACTTCTTCCTTCTGCTACATCCAGCTGGTTTATGTCTAGTCAGGAGACTTCATGGACCCCCAGCATCCACAAAGATGAATTTCAGGAAACCATCATCCACGGAGCTATAATTTACACTGAACCTGGATGTCCCCCTACTTATCATTCCCACCACAAAAAGAAAGTTGTTGCTCTTGACACTAGCCCCAAACTTCACAAGCAATCCCTAGAAACATCTAATTGGATTTCTTTTTATCTGGTAGCCAGTAAATCCTATGGATTGTGTGTGTGTGTGTGTGTGTGTGTGTGTGTGTGTGTGTGTGTGCGTGCGTGCGCGCGCACATGTGTGTAGATATCTTTCCAGGGACAGTTGTTCCCTCAGCAATGGCGTAAGGACTGGGCTTCTGTATATTCACCTGATAGAGATGAACAGAGAGTTGCTGGCCTCTGCGCAGCAGGTCCGTTGGAATATCCTGCTGAGAGTTCCATGCGAATCTGGGTAGTATCTGCTTTCTTATGAACATCTATTTTCTGAGTAACATCTATTTTACACAATAGAATTCTTTCTCCAGTAGAGTGCAAGCCAAATACAACAGACTATGAAGCCCGGGTAACAGTCTTGGTTGATGAAGTGTTGAGAGGTATAGATTTACCAATATACCAATTAAATAAACAAGATGGGAAAATAATTCTGAATACAGTGCTATTTCTATTTATATTTCGGAGGCTATTTCTTGGATACTGGGGCTTTGAGGGGGGGCAAAACAAAGAGAAAAACCATGGGATCAGAAGGGAGCTTTTTCAATCCTTTGTGCCTAGGCATACCCTTTGATAATGTCAATCAGAAATAGTTCAGGATTTAGAGCAAAGCACCCTCTTGCATAAAGGACCCACTGTATCAGGCCAGGAAAGTTAGAAGGATCTCTAACAGTAAATGTTTATTGACTTGAATTGAACCTAAAAAGTACACTTAGCTTTCTGTAGCTTCTTTGAACTCGGGTTTATTGTGAAAAGGAAACGCTTAAACCAGTAGCACTCGTCCTATTTGCTTTGGCCTTTACTGCCACAGTTCCGGTTTTTAATATATTTGTCAAACAAGTAGGACTGATAAACTTGTTAAAACATTCAGCTACAAGCGGCCCAAGACAAATTATACAAGGTGATAGCTTGTCCACGCGGCCAATTCCTTTCTTCAAGCCAACAAAGCCCCAAAAGGGGCTTTGATTGGCTAGATGTGAATAGATGGGGAGATGGCTAGCCACGGGCCTCATCTCACCACAGAGGGGCAAGAACCAGTGTAGTTCTTGGGAATCCATGAACAAATAATAAAAGAAGTAGTGCACACTTAGAAGTTATGATATCATTAAATCCTGAAACTATCATTTTAAACTAGAAGTCAGTGATTTTAATGCCATCATACCTTGCAAAACTTTGTAAATTATCTTAGACTCCCAGTAAAGTGGTCCTAATCTTTCTCTCTTTTTGATTTGGTCATACCTAAATCAAACATGCCCTGATGCACAAAGCCTTGAACAGCTACTGAGAGTCTTTCTCGGTTTGTTTTTACTGTGACAATACACGTGACTGCCCCCTGCCTCTGACATTTATCTGCAGATAAAAACAACTGCTGGGAAATAGGGTAAAATAAGTGTTCTCGGTGAGCCACTCACATCCACCAACTCTTTCTAAGGTTGTGTGGCTGAGCCCTGTGATCCAGAGGTGAATGAATTCCATCTTCCACAAGGGAAATGGCGACATCTTAGACCTACCCACACCGTTCATGTGGCACAGAACTGTC